GTTATTTGAATATTTCGAGTTTGTCCAAACTATCATCAAAATATCAACTTTTCATGAATTGAGAGTACTGATGTACTTAATTTCAATTAAGGCTATGTTTTGGACCATATTTAGCACAATTTATTTTTTATCTCGAAAACAGATGGGGATAGGTATAGGACATTATCAACAAAAAAGTATTAAAATACCAGAGCGATTCGAAAAATGTATTAATATATGGGGTGTTCCATTAAAAAAAAAGTTGCTAGGACTTTTTGATGGAAGTGGCAACGCCGCAATGCTGAAAATATTTTAAATCGATAGAATAGGTGAGGAAATGTGAGAGGTGGAATTTTCAGAAAAATCATGCTTTGCGTTTTCCAAAAACGTCTAACCTACCATCGACCGTGAGTCACGCTGTATGTGAAAGAGAATCTACATAAAAAAGCACTCAAAAGTTTCTAGCAAGTCTGCTAGAAACTTTTGAGTGACAATCTTGGTGTTGACTGTTTCAAAACATGAAATCTCTTATAAAATAAATGAATTACCGTATTTCTGCTGACTCCTTGAAAATTTTATTGAAATTTCTTAATTCTAAGAAGAAACAAACTCACAAATTGGTTAAGATAGTAAAGTGCCTGGATAAGCGTCCTGGAACCTTTTTAGGATTACACTCATTTGCAAGAAGTTTTTGAACATATTCAACTATTCAGGAAAATTTGAGCATTTGTAGTGATGTAGCCAAGAAGTTGGTCACAAATAATGTATTTTTATTAATTTCTTACTGTTGCATCCTGTTCAAGAATAAATCCTCCGTTTTCCAGAGCGGGTTTACCATTATTTCCTTGGAAACCAACCTGGATTGGACCGCGTTCTTTATTCGTGATCTGAAATTCTACAGCCAGAACTGCTGTCAACATCGAATAAGTTGTTAGCATTGACTTGAACATTTTGATTTTATTGTTTTCAGTAGCGAGCTCGTAAACTTATATAACTGTTATGTGGTGTGTTTTCGTAATTATTCACAAGGTATTTTCTTATCTCATGTAGGAAGTTATCCAGTTCTAGATAATATTCAGATATTTTGAAAATTCATTACGCAGTTGTGTAAAATAATTTCATTGTCATGGTTTTCAGAAGTTAGGAGGTATATCCTTATCTCTTGTAGGAACATATTCAGTTCTAGATAATATTCATATATGTCGAAAATTGAATAGGTATTTTTTGACAACAAAAAAGTCATTATTCCGAATTAAATGTAATTTTCGACAAATGTAAATTTTTTCAAGGGCATGCATTTTTTCTTGGAAACTATTATAAATAATTGTTTTTCTTGAAACTGATTCGGTGAGGTTTCATTAAAACTGTTGAATATTCAAATTGCAAGCAAAATTTCTTTGTCCAAAAAAGGGCAATTTAAATATTATATTTTCACCTGAAATAATTATACTCGGTGTAGGTATCCTAATAGCACGTGAATGTTCAAAATTATTGGGTCTTAACATTTTGCAGGTCAAGAGATTTTTTGTTTTTTATACAAAAAATAAAATTCATGGGTAAATTTCTACTGTTGATATAAAAAGATAAACTCTGGATAAATGCTTTACATACTAAACATTTTGGTGATTTTGTATAGCCCTCATTTTCTAACTCATACGTGAATTTTATTGATGGAAATCTGTTATTTAAACAGGAAACAAAGTCCTCAATGGGGACAACTTTCATTTCTTGACGTTTTGGTAATGAGGACCCAATAGGAAAGGCTTGAATACGGAAGGAAACAAGCACATACAGGTATATTCCTGACAGTTCACATCACCGTGGACAACACAAACGTGCTGGGCCGAATTATCTAGTACATCGTCTTTTAACATTTCCTTTTAGATATGAGAGGTTCACGACAGGAAATCGGACAATACAGGAAATTGCAGTCAGTAACGGTTTCCCCAGAGGTATTGCAGATGATATTATAAGAAAAAAAAGTTTAGGTTAACAATGAACGAAATTTTGACTTTTAGAAAAGACGAAAATCAAGACAAATATATTTCAGTTCCATGCCACGAATATACGAAGAATTTTGAAAAGATTTTCAAGAAACTAGGTATGAAGGTGGTATTTAAAACAAGCCCTACACTACAGAAACTTCTAGGAAATCCAAAAAACAAAGTCGAGAATACGGAAAAGTCTGGAATTTACGAAATTAAATGTAAGGACTGCTATGCAGAATATTATGGACAGACTGAAAGATCTATGAAAAAATATAATTGAAACTTTTACATACACACACACCTAAAATATGGAAGATCAGAAAAATCAACAGTCGCACATCATATTTTGCAGCAAAATATAATGGGCGACTGCTGATTTTTCAGGTCTTCAATATTTTAAGTGTGCTATGTATTCCTTATATCTTACTTCAGTAGATCTTTTTGTCGGTCCATAATATTTTGCATCGCAGTCATACATTCAATTCCGTGAATTCCAGACTTTTCCAAATTCTCGACTTTGTCTTTTGGACTTCTCTAAAGGCTCTGTAGTGTATGACTTGTTTTAAAAACCAAAATTTACATAGGCAATATTGTGAAATTAATTTTTTTATATAGCTGAAAATTGCTTTATATACAACTATAACAGTTAAACATATATTGTAAAATAATAGATAAGAAAAAATTGTAGAATTAATTCAGGTTGGTATACCTGTATGGGTGGTACACCTGAATGGTTTACCTGAATGGGATATTAATATAGCATAAATAGGGTTAGCTTCGCGTTAGTTTCTAGTTTTAATCTTCCTCTTTGAAGATGATCACTTGGTGATCGAAACAAGTGTCGAGGTGTTAAAAATAACGGTTTGGTGTTGGGATTAAACTCCAGTAATATTCATTGCTACACCAAAGGTTCCAAACAGTGCATCACAAGTAGATAACCCTTTCTTTCGAGTGAAATTGGTTTGTTTACACAGCCAGTAGTCGCTGGGAGCCAAATCTGGCGAATATGGTGGATGTGGGAGCAATTCGAAGTTCAATTCATGTAGTTTTGCCATTGTTTCCATTGATTCGTGACACGGTGCGTGTCTTGATGAAACACATTTTTCTTCGCAATTTCGGTCTTCAAACACTCCAATAACGCTATATAAAATTCACTGTTGATGTTATTTTTTTTCCCAAGATAGTCGATTACACCGTGTACATCTCAAAATTCCTTTTCAGCCGTTTGTTGTACTTTGGACGAGGTTCACCAGTTGCTCTCCACTCAGATGGCGATTATTTTGATTCCGGAGTGAAGTGATGGAAGTTTTCTGCAAAAAATAGAATTTGAAATTTTCGATAGGACCTGGAAATAGATAATATTGCCATAATTCAGTCTCCTTCCTACCTCTTGCCGCTCACGAGACCTCCAAGTAAGAGCTCCAATTTTTTTGAAGAGCATTGTGTGATTTTTTGGAATCGATTTTCATTTTGTTGAAAACTTTCGTCGCAATCGATAAGAGAGAAAACTGTTTGCATATTATGTTCAACAGAGGTACAAGAGTGAAGTTCTTTTGAATTCTGTTTTGACATTTCCTTCTTGTCATATGTATAGTGTCTAATTGAATGGTGACGTCTTATCTTTACTTCTATTCCAAACGTAAATAACGTAGAGTTGTAAACCGTATAAAGTCAGTTATCAGCGCAATCTCTGACAGAAATATGATACTCCTTCGACTGCATTTTTTTTCAATAACTGAATCAAGCAGATCGTATGTGTTTTGTTGAAGACAAACGACATACAGTAGAGGAAGGAAAAACATAGGTCTTTCCTGAACAGTAATGTCACCTAAAACTCAAACTCATGCAGCTGACGTTTTTGATTGGGAAAGTTCAGTTTGCTCATTGGAAATAGCATTTTTCGTTTGTATACCTGTCACGTTTTAAAGAAAACTGAACCACTATTGGAAGGGGTTTTTGTTGTACTTACTTTTTTGGAGCTTCCTATGTATGGTCGACTGTTTTATACCAAAGATGTATGAACGATTTTTAACATAATAATAATACCTTGACTTTTTTTGAGGATAAATAACAAACAGTTAATCAATAAATGATGAGACTATGATGCTAATACTATCATTGCAGAACTTCCTATTGATAAAGACAACATCTCTTTAATATCGCTTGACAATATATTGAAACCCCGTTCATCAGGTTCGTTTATGTTTACGCCTGTTACCAATTCGGAAGTCTATAATGCTATTCACGAAATAAAAAACTCTTATTGTGTCGATATCTATAATCTTAACAGTGAAATATTTAAGGCAATTTGCGATCTAATTGTAGAACCACTTATCTATTTGTTCAATGCTTGCATAAGTGGAGGAGCAGTTCCAGATAAACTAAAAATCAGTAAGGTCATTCCAGTTTTTAAAAAACGTGACAATATATCATTGAAAATCATCGACCCATCTTTATTGTGGCGATATTTGGTAAACTTTTTGAAATGTTAATCAAAAACAGGTTATATTTCTATTTTGAAAATAACAATCTCTTGAATCCTGATCAGTATGGCAAGTCTTGCTCTATTGTATAAGCAGTTATTCGTGTGCTGAGAAACATTGTCGACGGCTTTGAGAATGGTCAGCATAGCGCTGTAACTCTCTGTGACTTGAGTAAGATATTCGACTGTGTCTCGCACCACTTACTCCTTTATGAAATGAATGAATATGGGGTTAGAGGTGTGACTCTCTCCCTTCTCACATCGAATTTACAAAATCGAAAGCGATATGTCGAACTAGGAGACAATAGAACGTCTAATTTAGAACTTATAGTAAACGGTGTTCCGCAAGGATCTGTCCTGGAACCTCTCCTATTTATAATATTTATCAATTGCCTTTTCTTTCAAGTTCTGCCCGATAAATGTGTTTTTTTATGCCGATGACACATTTTTTCTCTGCTCGGACAAAAATTGCAAAAATTTATTGAAAATCTCAGAACTTGCAGGAAGTCAAGTTGAAAAATAGTTCTATGAGAATCTTCTCAAACTTAATACGGGGAAAACATAGAGACTGATATTTTCTTCCAATAACATGCTTTTGTATGGTAAGACAGCCCAATCACTTGGTATAACTTTGGATGACTCCCTCAATTGGACATGTCATTTGTATGAATTAAATACGAAATTATCCAAATATCTGTTTTTGTTGGGGCAATTGAGGGAATTTGTTTCCATTGACACTCTTTTTGCTATCTACTATGCGTTTTTCCATTCGCTTATTAGCTACGGGACACTTCTTTGGGGTAAATCTACTTCTGCTGGAAAGATATTTGTAAAAGCAATAAGGATAATTTCTTATGCGTAATATCAGGACAAATGTCGTCCATTGTTCAAAAATTTGAGAATCATGACACTTCCATCGATTTTCATTTTTCAGTCACTGCTGGAGGTACATAAAATTAAGGGCATTCTTTTAACTAACTCCCATTTTCATAACTATGAAACACGTGGTGCTAATCTTATACGACCTGCTAAATTCAATTTACAGAAATCTTCCAAGAATTCCTTAGATGTTAATCTATACAAAATCTTGCCAACTACAGTCAAAAATTCATCACAGACACGTTTTAAAAAGGGCATAAAATAATTTCTCATTGATGAAGGCCTTTATTGTATAGATGAATATATGGCTGCTTCCATGGTAATGCCCGGATTTATCTTTTAAGCAAAAGTGCGTGTGATAATATCTTTTGAAATTTATTGTATTTTGTTATACAGTGCTGCATGTGATAATGTATTAAAAAAAATTATTGTCCCCCTTTTGTGATTGATTGCTAGAAAACTTTTTATTGGAATTCATACGTGATTCATACTCATTAAGACGAGTCTTTCACACCTACAATCCAAAAACAATTATATATTTTTCTGCCCGGCAAGTGAAAGTGCTCTTGTGATCGTCGTATGCGTAGCTGTAAGCGTCTGGGCAGCGAGACTTGAAGAAGTTGGGGTAATCCACAGGCCATGATGAACTTCTACAAGTTTCTGGTCTATTGTGTGCACCTCGACAGCAGTATTGGTCAGTATTAAAAGCCAGACAGGCTGATTTGCAACCCACGACGCCACTTTGTGTGTGTAACTTCAGCTCATTTGGGCATTCTTCGTTGAGATGGCGAGCGCAGGCGGTTTTTTTGCAACTGTATTGACCGCCATCACCTCTTCCTCCAACAGGTTCCATCTGAACATAAAATAGAGTAGATTAGAGTACTTTTGTCGGGACGGTGATAGACAAATTATTGTTTACACGTGTTCAACGATAACATTTATTAACACAAAGCACAACTACAAAACACTACGACAAAATAACAAAAAAAATCTGAGGGGCCACGTGGTTTGGAAGGACTGACTCTCAGTGAACAGAATCGATGTTGTTCGTTCGACAGGTCGCATCAGAAAAAACTCCTGTCTCTAGCTTTCTCCGCAGGTGGTGAAACGGAAGTTCAGTTTAGCCAACACACATTTCAAAAATTCGACCACTCGATTTTCGAGTGTTCGATTACAGTGTTCGATGTGGATGACTGCTTGACAATAGAGAAATTATACTAAGCACTTGTAGGAAAAGTCACTACACTTTATTTGACTATTTCAAATACTATGCTGAATGAAACAGCCTGATCTTTCATTGAAACAGTTTTCATTTGAATACCCGATGAGAAAAAAATTCATATTGAAGTTCTAATAATAATATAGCCTTTCTCACCCAACAGTTGAAAACCATTGACAGGGTTAATAAATATGTTAAAAAAGTAATATAACTACAAAGTTACAATTTGAGAAAATGAGGAACAAGAATATAACAAAATGAAATAAAATAAAAACTATACCAGAAACTAAAAATTGACCATGAAAACCTGAGGTGCAGTTCCAACAATGTATTCTGTGGAATCAAAATTGATTTAACCCAAATTTGAAATTGAATTGGAATTATTGCAAATGCTAAAGACTTGAGGTAGGATTGGTTTTGGCCAGTCGGCTATATAAAGTTTTCATACTTCTAGTTTTAAAATAAGGCACACATAAATTCATAATAGATAACACCTCCAAAGCATCCACATTGCTCTGCAGTAACTTATATAGAAAAACTATTCCGGCAAGTTTTCTGAGTAACTCAAGACTTTCAATATTGAATGTTATGGAAAGAAATTCATATGAAATACCTTCATCGAGATAGATACTATAAGATTTGAAGTGAATAAACTATAGAAAACGACGTTTAACTATTTAAATTATATGTTTGTATGTATGTTTTATTGTAATGTATTATATAATACTGAAACAGTGGGCGTAAAAAGTTCACACCCCTCCCAACTTCTTCACAGGACAAGATATCAAGTTATTTTTACCGAGAAAAACAAAAGTGAGACATTACTTTTCACCAAAAGGACGCTGACAACTTTTTTTTTCAAGCGGTCTAAGGGATTTTATGATACCTCTTTTGAAGGTCTTTAAATTCTATATTCAAACCGGATTTATTTTTTCGACTACAAGCTTCTCTTATTCTATCCACGATTTCTGGAATGAAGTGTGTTTATGGAGCGTAAATTCAAGATTCCGCGGTTTTCTTCAAACGTTCCAAAGGTGTCATATCATTTGATTCAGCAGGCTTTTCACGTAACCAGCCCTACATTTACACCGATTTGGAGAGTTTAACTTACTGAAATTATACCTCAAATGAAATGTTTCAGCAAGTTGGAGCACCTTCTCATTATGACTGGTTGGTTCAAAGAGACTGGATGACAATTAACCAAATCGATGGAAAGACAGATATATGATCCCTTATATTGATCTACTAGATCATCTGACGCTTTTCGTGATATCAGATGATGTAGCTGATCCATTTTGTAAGGATCGTAAGGATCATCTAGCAGATGATCTAGCAGATGTAAGGATTTGTGAAATAAAAGTTTGCGTTATATGGCTGTAGGACAATACAATACTTATCGAAATCTCCCCAGAAACATTACCTATTGTAAGAAATGGATTTGTAAACAGACTTCACTAACTTCAGGAATTGAATGTAAATATTCATTGGGACAAACTGGAATACATTTTTTATATATTTTTCTATTGAAGTAATATTTATCGTTAGCAGATTCTTGAAAAAATATAGAACTGGTAAATATTCAGGAACGGCTGGTACGTATATGAAAGACCTATCAAATGATTCATCACCAGACCCCCACCATATAAAGAAGTTGATAGCGACCTTTCGAACCACTGATCTACAATTTTGTTATTTCTATTAGACAATAATGAAAATGATACCTTTTTATGTCAACTTCGATATCTTCTCACATCCAAAAGTTAGTAGATGCAAAGTGCAGCGTTCTATTATAAAAGCAGAAAAGAATATTAGGAACAATCACTTAATTTTATTGTTATCAACGTTCATTACTGACTTTTTTTCTACCCTATCGTGCTGTGGTCAAGTTTATCTTTCTCCGATGTGTTCAACGTTGCTGATATTTGTTTGATTATTTGTGATTTTCAAATAATTTAAAAAAACATCAGAGCAATATTTGTTTTATATTTTCAATTCAAATATAGTAGTGCTAAAGAAGACTGAGATGGCCTTTTCACCAGGAAAAGAAGTTTATCTGGCTTAAAACGTCCCGAAATCTTCAAAAGCAAACTGAACTACTCTGAAGAGGTGAAATACCTTGGTAATATCCTCGACAGGAAGCTAACATGGAACTCTCACCTACAGGGTAGAGCAAAAAGAGCATATGTGGCTTATGAGCAATGTCGGAGGACAGTGAGACGCGCATGGGGTCTTTCACCCAGTGTGGTTACCTGGATCTACACTGTAATAATAAGACCTATGTTAACGTATGGAGCCATTGCATGGGGACCGAATGTTCTACAAGCAACGGCCACCCAAAAATTATATCAAATACAGCGACTGGCTTGTTTAAACATCACAGGAGCCATGAGAACAACACCAACGCGGCAATGGAATCAATTACGGGTCTGACCCCTCTGGACCTGTACGTTAAGGAGGTTGCGTTAATGGCCATGTTACGATTGCGCACGGCTGGTGTAAACCTCGAAGTAGGGATGGGTCAATTGAGGCTGGACCTGCGCAACCTCTGCTGCAGGCAACCGGAGATTCAATTGAACTCAGGTTTGTGAACACAGAGTCAGAAACTACAAATGCAATACGCATATATACAGACGGCTCAAAGAAGGCTCAGGATGTGGAGTGTACTATAGATCACCAAGCCTAAGGATTAAGTGGGAAATGGGAAAAAACACCAGCATAGTCCAAACAGAACTTGCTGATATCTCAATCGCCACAAAAAAAATAACCAGGAAAGGAATTTCTGGCAAAACGTAACAATCTTCACTGACAGCAGACAAGCCCTATTAGCCTTGAACTGACAACGTGTTACCTCACCAAGATAGATGGATAGATAATAACATTATTCTGAGGTGGATTAAAGGGCACGGCAGTATAACGGTAATCGCATTGCCTACTCTTTAGCCAAGGAAGCGGGTGGACTAAGAATTTTAGGACCCAGTGGCACCTACGACCTGATGACTTCAACAATTGCGGCAATAGCCAAATGTTACACCCATGCTCAATCCCTAAAGAGATGGGATGGAATCAAAGGATGCAAACTTGCCAGGATCACCCTGGGCGAACCTGGAAAGCTGGCGCCGAAAAAATATCTGGCGATGAGCAGGAAAAATCTTCGCTTAACAGTAGGATTTCTAACTGGCCACTGTCAACTAAGGAAACACCTCCATAATATGGGGCTAGTGGAAGATGGAACTGTCAGGCATGTCCTATGCGAGTGTCCGGAGTTATCGTCAATAAGAGAGTGTGTGTTCAGCGAGTCTTGGCCTACACCTGTCAATATAAAGGAAATGTCTCTCAGTGACCTGTCCACCTTCCTGAAAATGACAGGATGGACGATGACCTAGGAGGACAACTTCTCGGGAGGATGTACAATCGGTCACATGTGGCCTAAGTGCTGTGAGCTTACACGGCTGAGCTTGCATTGCAGAGTTTCCCGTAGATGAGTTAAGTCTAGCATCTGAGTTAAGTCTCGGAACTGATTTTTTTAAACGATCCCTTATTCCATATATGATCTTTCCTCACGAATCATTTCTTGAATGTTTGAGAAAATTCACCGAGGTATTTAGCAGATTGCACACGGGAAACATAAAAGGAAATTTCTCCATTTGCATCCAAATCATCTCCATTTACACAAGAGTTTCATCCAAAATTCGTTCCACTAAAATATCTGGTATAATATTTCAGAAGAGCAAGGATAATTAAAGATTTTCCAGTTATAATATATAACTGAATCCTCAAATAGGTTATTTCATGTATAATGCCGATGAAGAATACAGAGTATCATATTTTTATTAATGAAATCATTATTAACTTAGCAATAAATTGAACAAAATTGAAACGACATTTGATGAATCCAATATAAAAACAATTGAATCTCGAAGTTTACTAACTTGTTATCCAAGATCTTTTCACATAACTCACAGATTTTGGAAAAATAGCCGAATTAGAAGATTCAAAACCTGGATAACTTCCAAATTTGTCGAAAAATTCAATAAAGTGTTCATGATGAATTTGGGAGTAAAAAAATTCGTTAGAGATCATTTCAATGTTGTTGAAAAAAAAAACCATTTTGCTGTTACGAAAAACACAGCACCCAATGGAGAAAATCTCTTAAAAGGATCATTTTCATTTTCATACACATGCGTAGAAAGAGTGATGATGAATATCTTTGAATAGAATAGTCTATCAGTTTCCATTTTAGATTTTTACTAACATAACAGTTATGGTTGAAAGATCAATAATTTGTGGATTAGAATAACTCATTTTAGAAAAAATAGTCTATCTTCATCGAGTTGACTTTTTCCAACAGTACTTAACAAACAAACCCACTTCATTATCAAATAGAGGATAAATATTACTGGAGTTTTTTCCCAACACCAAATCATTATTTTTACACCTCGACATGTGTTTCGATCACCAAGTGATCATCTTCAAGAGGAAGATAAAAACTCCTGTAATATCCATTACTACACCAAACGTTCCAAACAGTACACCACAAATAGAGGATAACCTGGTGAAAAATGACATGCTCAAATGAAATTTCAATTACATGTAAATATGGCGACAATTCGCGAATACAAAAATATTTATTCATTATGCGATGATAAATATGTATATCGATATATCGCCCAGTCTACTATGAGTGGATAAGGAAACAAATTCCAAGTACAAGGTCACCTCAGGAATAGGTTTGGAAAATATCGTGCTGTAACTATGATTGATGATCAATTGGAACAATGATTCATATGAAGTCAGCAGCAAAAGTTCTAGTTGGAAATCTCATTAAGTGAATGCGATGATATGTCTTCTAACGAAGACACCAACTATGAGATTGACAGAAGATGGTAAGATGTATATACGGCCAATTATGTGTATAGTATAATCATTTATGAATTTCTTCATTTATGTTCATTACGTTGATTAGTTATTAGGTGATAGGTAGAAGATTAAGTTGATTAAGAAATAATTTATAACCTGGGCTATATAAGAAATAAGAAAACTGAATAAAGAAGGGTCTTCTCCACCCGCTAAATTCGTCCCTCCATGTGGCCGATGTTACGCTTCGTCGGCACGAAGGGGGAGAGAAGGTACAAAGGAGTATGAGTTTCCTTGACAGTAGTGACACTGAGCAGCAGGAAGATGCTCAGTTGTAAGGCTTTTGGGCCAAGTCAACGTAAGTAACGACACTTTACATGTCTTTGAAGGCCAAGTCAGAGCCATTCATGGGATCGACAGAAGGTTTAGTCCATGATTATCAAAGATAAACAAGTTCTCCAAGGCGATTCGTTGAAAAGTCAAACATTAACATCGACCGCTGAATGAGAATTGTGCTCTGGATTTGACTACATTTTCCACAGCAAAGCAACTAGATGAAACCAGAGCCCACAAACTAGCAGAGCCCGTCATTATCAATAATGTTTTTTTGCTTGAGCAACACCATTGTCTCCACTTACTTAGAACCGTTTCTGAGATTTTGATGAGACAGAGCAGCTTTGTTTGGTGTTGGATCACCAATGCATTATTTTTGAGCTTTTTGTTCCAAAGAGTGATCCACCTCAGCCTCATATTGTGCTGGTGATATTCAGTGAAACTAATTGCAAATGATACTAGAGTTACAACTGAACACGTAGGCTTTTTTCCAATAGATTTTCTAATCAGAGAATTGTACATATCTGAATACTAACTTTGTTAATCACATCAGAGTAGTAACAACTGCATTTATCAACATTATGGAAAGTTTTCATTTGATACAAATACTTTCTTTGATCACTCCCAAAATTATCCCCAAAGTATTATCAGTTGGTAAGAAAAATATTTTACCTGAAAATTCAATGATAACAAATAGATTTTCAGCATATGTTGCCACTCAAAAATACTTTTCAACTATAAATACATGAAATTTCACTCACACTAGCTGCCAGATTGTATCCATCTACCAATGAAATATCGTAATAATCCAGACCTTGCCATCCTTTCAGAGTAATTTCAGCTAGAGTTGCAGGCGGTGCACCTCCATTTCCTCCACATTCTAGTCGATTTCCGCAATCTCCCGTCAAACAGTGCTTACTATTATAGTCGCACCAGGTTCTTGCCCAAAAACGCCCAGCCCAGTCTGCTGGAGCATGTATTGACGTCTGAAAATATTTGAGTAAAAAGTAGTGTTTAAATAATCAGTAACATTTGAAAAGCGACGACTTGGTATTCATATTAGGTATTTATATATCAAGATGTGAAATGGTTGTCTTTGGGAACTTGTCTTCTTATATTCAGTTCTACTCTGTATTTCTGATAGTTCAAGACTATCAAAGCATTTTTTCAAAAAACCAAGCTAAGCTTGCGGAATTTTTGACAGTTATTGCAATTTTTATTTAATTCGAAGTGACAATTGCCGTGAGGTGGCGCTGTGAACCTCAAGGATACATTGAGAAGAGACCTGGTAACATCAGTTTTCTGTTGGAGGGTGTGTTATAAATGAATTTATAATGAATAACCTATGTTAAACTCATTCGATTTTTCAAACATTCAGGCACTGAATGTTAATTTCCATAAAAAATGAAATGATAGAAAGCAATTTTCATTTCTGTTTTTTTTTCTTGCTGTAGTTTTGATAATTATCACCAATTTCTGAAATGAAATGGTTACTCATTTTGATCAAATTTTGCATAATATACTACAATGAGTGTTTCATACTCATATTCTAGCGATAACAGCTGAGCCTTTAACAGATAGGTTCAAGAAATTGAACCCAAATTCAAACCAGTGAAAATTATTAATCTCATTTAACTCTGAACTATCTCTTTGTTCAATTGATATCAATGAAGTATTGATCCCATATCTTTCACAACTAGAATATAGTCCAATCATATAACTGGCAATATTTGTTGAAATAGCAATCTCATAATTGAGTTTTCAAAATAAACTCATAATATGGTTATTAAGAAGTAATTCATATATTCGTTTTCCGATTGGAATAGTCATTTTTGTTGACAAATGGTTTTTTAATGTATCTGAAAATCATCAAAACCATCCATATCTACTCGTGAACTATTAAAATATAATAATGTAGTCAAACAGGGTGATTGTAATATGAAAACACGTATATCATTGTTCTTGATTTGCAAATATCTTGCACCTGACCAGATCAGGAGCGAGAGCTTCTCAACTCTTCAATTCCTGATCCAATAACTGAACCGAAAAAACAGGTTTGGTGGTGCAGCCAAGAAACGACCGAGTCTTCTCCTCAACCGATTACCTCATTAACGATGAAACAGCAGAGCACATACTTTGTGCCTGCCTGCCAGATCATGTGGAGGGGAGACCTATGAGAAAGGCTTGCCACTTTTTGGGTAGCTGCATTTTGAAGCTCTATTTTTCACTCATCGAAAAAACCCTACTTTAGTTTCCCCATTTTACATTGATGCTTCAAATTTAAAAAGTATTTGCCTTCTGAGCTGTTTTGATGTGAAACATCTATAGCCGCTGGCGTGAAGATACATGGCGTGGAGATGCATACCGTGGAGAAGGGTCGCTATGCGCAAGTGACTGTGCCATTCTCTTTCCACTAGTTTGGCGTTACGCTGTCTCTTTTTCCATACTGAGCTCGGATACATATAGTGTTTACAGTTGTGTTTCTATAGTATATCTAACCTGTGTTTTACTGAATAAATAAATTTTAAAATAATTGAAAATGAAATATGTTTGACAGTGATAATTTAGAAAGTGAAAGTGAGCAGCCTCACACTATGATACAATATCAAGGCATCAGTAAGTTAACTATATTAAGGTGTGCATTTATCTGTGCATCAAGCTGTGGTCTGTCTCAAGGGTCAGTGAATGTAAAATCTACTCTCTTGGTAGATTGAAATTTATGAAAAATGAGAAATTAAACTTTCTATGTTTTTGTACCACATGTATTTGTAACTAACGTTACTTCAGTTCCGTCCTGTAAGGACATTTTCAGACTATCACTGAAAGTCTGAAAGAGTTCATTCTGAAAATAATTGAATTCTCTCTTTCTTTGGAAGATTTCCATTTTCTTTGAATGAAGATGGGGAAGTAGAAAGCCAAAACTTTTCTTTTCCAAAAATTCATGTCTTCTAATAATATACCCCTTTCAATTCAAATGAAACCTATATTTATCGTGCTAACTATGTGTGAATTACTGAAAAAAGACCTCAATGTCAATTCAGTTTCTTATTCTCCTGATGAATAAATAAGGCTGACATTGCTTTGTTATGTCAATTTCAGTATTCACTGTGATTTCCAAAAGACCTCAATGTCAATTTAGTTTCTTATTCTCCTGATGAATAAATAAGGCTGACATTGCTTTGTTATGTCAATTTCAGTATTCACTGTGATTTCCATAACTCAGAAAAAACTACAACAATAACAATAATATTCCAGATAGCTGAAGATAAACAAATAACAATCGTCCGTTTTGTGAATTTTCAGAACTATGAAATCTCAGATAGTTGTAGACAGACAAATGAACAATCACTCGATTCGTAAATTTTCAGAATCCTCATTTGAATACTTATAAATTAAACAGTTTTCTTACCGTAGCTCCTGCTTCAAGAATGAATCCGCCATTGGCCAAGGCTGGCTTACCAGAATTTCCTTGAATACCAACCCAAATTGGACCGATTTCTCTATTAGTAATCTGGAATTCGACGGCACATACTGTTGTTAACAGCAAACAAGACGATATTACTTTGAACATTTTCGAATAGTTTGTAAATAACTTTCAAGCAGAGACAGACTTTTATACGATTAAGATGTATCGGGTTTTGCCGGTTAATTATAATCTTTGTTGATTCTTTCCTATCACTGAACTTTTGGAAAATCCGATAACCTTGGCTGCTGGTGAGGTGAAAAAATCAGAGTTCTACAGTGGTTTAAAAAAAGAACTATTTTCATTATCAACTACAACAAGGAACTCATATAGCAGTTGGACATAAAAATACTACTCCGTGTTTATAATTCAATTATTATTGTTTCGGAGACGATTTCCATCAGGGTTGTATTGAATATGAATCATTCAAAATGAGTACTGTTTTCAGACACCAGAACTGCAACACTCTTCTCGACGCGCATCACCAATCAAGTTGACGTCTTCAGGAGATGTGTATCTTTTAACATAATTAAACTCATGAAGAGTTAATTTTGATTTCAAGAAGGGGATCAATGAAAAAACATATGTTTAAAATTCTTACACTTTACTCAAAGTGTTCAGTGTCCTTCTGCTTCCATTCAGAGGATTTGTTCAAAGCGATTTCAAACGTTCTGAATCATTCCAGGTTAAATGTTCAAACTATTAGCAAGGATTAATTGATGGAAATCATTCAAAGGTGCTCTAATCCCCCTAATTGTTGCAGGATTATTAGTCTTCATCTGTGGAAACCGGGTGTGGAAACCGAGTGTGGAAACCGAAGATGGATTCAACAAAAATAGTTCTACGTTTGTTGTACCCGATACGGACCTGGTACCGGCGAAAAATTGTTCTCCCACATGCCAAAATTAGAAAATTTCGACGTACATTTTACCAGTGGAGATCATCAGGACATAATCCAAACTCATTTTGCTGCTATATCAGAGAAACTTGCAAATCATCATTACTTTCGTATTAAGATCTATCTAGAATTTTCTTTTTCTGATTTCTCAATGTTTGACGTTTTTATATGCGTAAATTTTGGGTGAAGTTGTACTTCTTCTGACCTGATAATATTCCTCACTGGTGGACTTGACAGTTACGGTAGGTCTAGAGATCTTGTTGAGAAGTATATTTCTACCTATCCAATTTACTTCTATTCACAAGGGATCAGAGTTTTTGTTGCATGAAATATAATCTAATGTTATACATTTTTGGAGTTAGCTTAGGTTAGGTTGAGTCCAAAGTAAGTGGGTCTATTCGACCCTCCACCGCAACCCGCAAGGGTTTATTGTGGCTCACAGCTATTCATACTCGACCAAATCAACCCAGCTTCTTAACGCAGCCGATTAGTTTGTACGGTGAGTGGTCTTTCAGGTCAGATGGTAAGAATACGGCTCTGCCGAACTCTAAAAACCTGATTTGATCCCCAGCAGGGCAGGCACAAAGTATGTGCTCTACTGTTTCATCCTTAATGAGGTAGTCGGATGAGTTCAGTTATTGGATCAGGAATTGGAGAGTTGAGAAGCCCTCGCTCCTGATCTAAATTCACAGGGAGGTCAGTTAGAGTCGTAAGCTCGGCATCCATCTCCTCTGTAGACTCAGCATCAGAAAGAATTTTGAAGTTTACTCTATCCATAAAAGTCCCACGAGTAGCTAGGGATAGAAGGTCAATCGCGGCAGAGCCCTGCATTACCGTTACAAGGCGATGCTACGACGAGAGGGCGACCGGTATCTCGAAGGTTCCGTAGAGACAGCTGATAGGCTCAGTGTCATTCATCCTCTCGGCACGAATACACACCTCAGGATTAAGCCATCGTTGAGATGCCATTGAGTTAGCAAATGACAGAACCACAAGTGATTCTATCATTCCCGTATCCAGCGGGGCTACGTGGAAGCAGGCATCCGATGGCCGGTTTGCTCAACCCCCACATCCTAAGCCAATGCACTCGCCAAAAAAAGCATGCACAGTGGTTCAGGCAGTGAAAAATGAATAAGGACAGCTGCTTGTACATCTAAAGTCAGATTTTTTGTGCCACCTTTAGTTTTTGAGGTATAAGATAAAGAAAAAATATTTTGAATAAAAACGATCATTAAAATAACAAGCAATGTTTATCATAGGATTTTCTTGCTTGACTTGGTTCACAAGACCTATTTTGAATGCTCCAACAGAAGTCCGCCATCATGTGGGCATCCCAGTAAACCTGTTACCCTTTCTCTATAGTTCGAATATCTTGTTGGAACCATTCCCTCTGTTCTTCGCTCAAATCACCAAGATTTCCAAGGAAATGGTACAAATGGCTGTGTAGAAAGTGTACCCTGATACTCACATCACAGCAAAGCTGCTGGAACTGCGGCAATATATTTTCAACGTGCTCAGCATAGCTTACATCTTTGTTTTTTTTTGTGCAATCCAAACGAAATGCAACCTTATTCGTGGACCATCGAAAATTCCGGCTTTCAGTTTCTCTGTACTCATATCATGAAACTTTTTAGAGATTTATTTGAACTAATCATCATTCTTATTCAGAGCCTTGACAGATTGTTTCATGAGCCCTAGTCGATATGCAGGGACGGTAGTCTACTCGAGACCAGTGCTGATACTTGGCTCTACTGTCCCACAGACAAATAAAAGAAGAATATTTTGTATAGCCTCCTTGTTGTCCAAGCACAAGATTAGCTCTACATATATGAGTCACTTGTGTTCGTGGTATTTGATTTTTCTCATAACAGAAGCCACACTAGCATAATCTTTGATTTGAATTGCTAACGGTAACGAACCCAGCTCATTGCCGTTGTGCATAAGTACACATTTCAAGCTATGCTTAGAGGAATTAATAAATGAGCGCCATATATACATTCGGGTCATCTCGTATTTGTCTATTTCCATTGCTTTTATTTAACCCGAAATATTTCAACAATAATTCCTTTCTTGATTTATCATGTACAGATTTTGAATTCTGCGATTTGTTAGGTTAGATTAGTATCTCTTATACTGAGTAACCTTTCGATAAAAGCATTTATTATTACAAACAAATTCATCATCTTCAAGAAGGAATGTAAGTAAACATCTCTCTGTGCCGATGGTACGAAATTTTTGTTTCTTGAGTTGAAAGATTTTCTTGAAGAAGAGATTTTTTCATCTAAGTCGTGATCATTTTGTATAGTTGAAGATGCTTGTGGCACTGGTGTAAGTATCGCCAGAGTAAATGTTTGGTCGAGTAACACAGTAGACTAAAGTCATTTGGATCTGTTTCTTTTATTAATCCCGTTTATATCAACCACGCAAAAATAATGATCATTCTGATCATTGATGTTTGATACTTGAAATGGGATCTTTTCCTATTCGCCCTCAAAGACTCCACGCACGTTTTACATACCATATTAGGCACTCATTACTTGTCATGGGAAATCCAAATTATCAAGATACACGTGTTTTACGAACTCCAACATATAGCTGCCGGACTGAGTCATCGCTAGTGAGAAGCCCCTACCTCAAGATGTGTAGTAGATCTAATATATATAATATCCATTTATGGTTTACCCCTCAATTTGTACTACGTAAAATTATAAACGAAAGTTTCTATTCTTTTTTCCTAATACTTTCTTTGTCATACACCGACCCAAACTTTACGCAGATACGATTTCTCCCACCGGCCATGACTCAGTCCGGTAGCTGAATGTATTAATATTCATCACAGATGATACAGACTCAGTTCCGATCGTTTTTACAGATATTTCTTCATGTAGATATTGAAACAAGAAATGAATTTGTGAAAAAATCGCTCGATTTATGAAAGTTGACTGTAACTAGTACACAAATATGGTCAATAGCTATATCTCAATAACTAGATCTGTTGAAAAAAAGAAAGATTCGAAATCAGCGACCTCAAATTGTTATAATTTATACCTACAATATTCCTGTTAGTACAGGTATTCACTCTACCACTAGAAAATATAAGAAATGTAAAGAGGTGTAACCATGGTATTGTTACCAGAGTGACCTGGTGACATTTTTGGATCCCCGGTTCCATGCCCCATTTTCATAACATAACATGCCCTCCAATAAATTCTACAAAATATTTTCAATTATTGGCGATTTTTGGTTTCTGCGTTGAGCAGAACTGGAGCTCTTCGACCGTTACCTCGTCGCCTTTGATAATGCCTACCGCAGTAGTAGACGAAACAAAATATATAAAAACCTACAGACCACGCCCAAAAAACTCGGAAAAAATAGCTTTGACACAGTTATCTCCGACCGTGAAAGTTCACGTCATTTAAATTCGTTTTTGTTGAGAAGACATTTTATGAATACAAGGACATTTTAAATTATATTCAGCAGTAGCTAGCGGAAATATTAGTCTTTCATTTGTAGTATGTTTGTTAAAATTTCACTGTTTCCGGAAAATCTGAAAGCCTAATTTATGTTCTTCAAAAATTGGCAAAAATTTTAAGGAATGTATCTATAACAACAAAAAAAAATCAGTTATAGAGGAAATCTTGCCATCAATTTGAACTCAAGGGAAAAAATACATATTACAATTGAAAAAATATTCACAATATACTCTAAATATTTTTCTGAAGCTGTAATACACATTATGTATCATCGAATCGAATTTCTTCGAAGATTTCTAAATACTGACAGATTGTTTCGTATTCATTCCGCCAAATGATAAATTTTCATCCGCAATTTTCCTTCATCATCAAATTCTCGTTGATAGACATTTATCTTTGAAGAAAAACTGAGAAGGTGAATGCGGGGATTGTGGTGGATGAAAGACTTTTCCACTTCTTTCTATCAATCCTCTTTCATATATTTTTTTGGAAAATGTCTTACCTGGCGGGAAAACTTTGGTGAAACTGAAACCATCAAGTCAAAAGTTACTTTTTCTAGCGTTTTGTGATTCATGATACCTTGTTTTGATCAGCATATAATTTAGTATTCTTTGTCGAAAAAGAATACTATGTTAACTGTGTTGGTATGGGTTACAAGCATTAATTTTTTCCATAAGAAGTTATCACCTCCATCACCCAGTATATCATGTTTTTAAAGGGAATTGTTAATTATATAACAAACACATTCAATTTTTTTACCACCCTTGAAAACGAAAAACGTAAGTCCAGGAAAAGATGAAATATATGT